TGGAGAGTAGCATGTATCCTTTTTAAATTCAGATGGTTTTAGGTTGGCACTATCTTCTTCTTTTGGTAGCTTCAAGGTTTTTTCTGGGCTTTGAGTTGGCTAAGTGATTTTTCAAAAATCAAGAGACAGAACAAAGAAGGAAGAGATAGTAAGCATGTGGATAATAGAGCAAGTAATTTTTATGGCTTTGTTTTCAGCTGCTACTGTTTCCTGATATTCCATTATTGTTAACAGGATATAATTTCAAGCTGAATAACACATATGCCTACCTTCAGGGCAAAAACGGCCTGCCTCTTAGTAACAAAAATTTTCTCCACTTAGGTAATTTAAAAGCACTTCAGTGCTTAAGAGCTAATATATTAACATTAAAGCACCACCAGTATTCCAGGCAATGTGGAAAAAGCATAAAATGAAGTTATACATTTAAATACTAAGACAAGTACTACAAAAAGACTGAGTATTTCAGGGGAAAACAAGTTTCTCAATCTTTCCTAAAATGAGTATCTATTGCTCAATTCTAATCATTGTTGTTGAACACACAGATTAAACAGGTTCCCTGACCCCCTTTGACCCTGTATTCTGTTCTCTAGCAACTCCTTATTTCTGATTCTGTAGCCTTCCGTTCCAGGTCATGTTGAAATGAACACATCTCTCTCCCTAGATCTTAAATAACAGCACTTGCCATTTGAGTATAACACCTGTCTCCCTCATTTTTAACTTAGGTAGACTTATAAATCCTCTCTCGTTTTTATCTTCAGATGGACTCTCTATTTGCTAAATCCTCTGTTTTATGATATTAAGTGTAACTCACAGAATGTCCACCATTGAAGCGGCCAGGCAACCTTCTTCCAGGCATCTTGGGTCTATTTGCAGTGAGATGTAGCAAGTTTTCTGAGGAAGCTATGTCATCAAAATTTACAACATCTAGAGAATAAAAATAAACATTACCTACATAACTGTACCCTTTAAAAGGTAAAAAATAATGTTTCAGTTTTTGGACAAACTATAAATTAAAAAGAATACCACTACTTTGAAGGACTCACAAGTTGACCTGTGCTTTTCATATGCATTTGGAAAACAACATTTGCCCTTTAAAAAAAAAAAAAAATCTCTTTACCTGATACATTTTATAGTGTACAACTTTATTAATGTAAGGGTTACATTTCCAACAGAGACTAACATGTCACAAAAAATTTCTTATTTAAAGATAAATCTATACTATAAATAGTAGTATAAGTTGTCATCTTAAATTCTTGCTTATAAAAAAAATTTCTACTTCTTAAATTCATAATAAATTACAATATCAGAAAATTTACATGTAAAATTTGTTTTAAACTTCAAGTAGTGGACTAATATTTAAATGTTAAGGATTCAACTATATCTAGCACCCTGCTGCTATATATTTGCATTTCTCAATGTAAAGCAAATGCGTGATTTAATGTGCCTTTATATATGTATATATGTATGTGTATAATATGTTATAGCTGGGACTAAAATTTTTTATAGTTCACTGCACCTCTGCTTAGACATTACCATGTTTAGGAATCATAAGATAGTCCTAAATCTAAGGCAAATCAGATGCCAAGGAAAAATGATACATAGGTCACCATCTTTCTTCTCCACCATGAAAAGCTGGTTGACCTTTGATGTAGTAACTTGGGTTTAAGAACAACTCCAGGTAATTTGCATCTCTGAATCAATGGTATACTTTTATTCTAGATGATCTAGAAAATCTTGCTAATTTCTTTAACTCTGAAGCCCAGATATGTGATATAAAAAACGTAAGGGTAAATTCCAGATAGTTCCATTGACAGTATCTTTAGCCTTCCTTTATCTAACCTTCCTTTAGCCCAGGTTCCAAACTTGGGATATTAACCACAGCCAAAACATTCTACAAGTCAGCAGATATCTTTGGTCTAATCTTCCAGGTCTGGATTCATTCTTCATATTACCGTTTGCCTAGATGTTTCTAATACTTCTGTGAGATATTTAGACGTCCCATTGTTATTTCTTAAAAGAGATCTAAAGATACTCAACATTACCACCCTCAAAGTTTACTCATCAACTTTCATATACAAAGTAATTTAGAGGATTTTTTTAAGAGATAGAGGACACAAAGGTAAGGCAGAAAAAGAGTCATCACTGTTTAGTAATATGCATTTTATAGCAACTAGAAGTATTTGTTGACTACTATTAACTTTTTTCCCACCTAAAAAAATCTGTGTTCAAGCCACTAAGTTAATTCATCAAAAGACACTAATATGCTTGGTTTAATTGTTGAGTCTTTGGATAAATGTCTATAATTACAAAATATAACAAATTATAATAAGAAATGAGCAACTTTAATGGAAAATGTATCATATAATCTGAAAGAGGCTAAATTTAAATATATACCTAAATGTCATTTTATTTGTAAATATCACAAAGAAATCAGTATTTTAAAAAGATGTTTAAGACATGTCATAGTTTGAAGGGTTAAAAATTGGTTTTTA